GATGAAAACTACAGATCACTAAAGAAAGGAATTGAAGAAGACCTTAGAAGATGGAAAGATCTTCCATGTTCTTGGTTAGGCAGAATTAATATAATCGAAATGGCCATATGGATGATGTTCTTCATAGAAATAGAAAAAGCAGTCATGAAATTTATTTAGAAAAATAAGACGCCTAGAATAGCCAAAGTAAGCCTCAGTGAGAAAAGTGAAGTAGGAGACATCACAATACCTGAACTTAAATTATACCACAGGGCTATAGTAACAAAAACTGGATGGTATTGGCACAAAAACAGACATAAATGGAACAGAATAGAAGACACAGAGACTAACCTACATACATACAGTTATCTCATCCTAAACACAGGTACCATCAATATACATTGGAGAAAAGGTAGCCTCTTCAACAAATGGCCTGAGAAACCTAGAAATCCATTTGTAGAGGAATGAAATTTAATCCCGTTTTTCTCACCCTGCACAAAAATCAACTCAAAATGGATTAAGGACCTATGCATCAGACTGGATACCCTGTGCCTATTTAAAGAAAATATAGGCCCAACTCTATAAGTTGGCTTAGGAACCAAATTCCTAAATAAGACTCCTAAAGTGCAAGAAATAAAATCATGAATCAATAAGTAGGATGGTATCAAACTAAAAAGCTTCTGCATAACAAAGGAAACAATCAGGAACATGAACAGAGAGACTATAGAACGGGAGAATATATTTGCCACCTGCAAATGAGAGCATTAATTTTCAGGATACAAAGAACTCAAAAACTATAACAAAAAATCAAATAACTCAGTCAATAAATGGGCTCAGGAACTGAGCAGGCACTTCACATAATAAGCAATACCAATGGCCAATAGATATATGAAAAAATGTTCAACATTTCCAGCAATTAGGGAAATGCACATTAAAACTACACTGAGATTCCACTTCACTCTAGTCAGAATGACAATTACCAAGAACACAAGTAATAATAAATATTGGCAAAGATATGGGGGGAAAGGTTTACTTATTCATTGCTGGTGGGACTGCAAATTGGTGTGATCACATGAAAAGAGTATAGGAAATTTGGAATGGAATTATTTGACTCATTTATCCCACTCCTTGGTATATACCCAAAGAACTTAAAATCAGCATACCATAGTAGTGCAGCCACATCAATGTTTATAGCAGCTCAGTTCACAATTCCTAAGCTATGAAAACAGCTGGATGCCCTTCAACGGATGAATGGATTAAGAAACTGTGGTATATATACACAATGGAATATTACTCAACCATAAAAAATGAAATTATGGTATTTGTCAGTAAATGGATGGAACTGGAGACAATCATGCTAGGTGAAATAAGCCAATCCCTCAAAACCAAGGCTTAATATTCTCTCTGATATATGGATGCTGACACAAAATAAGGGTGAGGGAGGGAAGAATAAAAGCTCATTGGATTAGACAAAGGGGAATAAAGGGAAAGGAGGGGGGATGAGAATAGTATAGACAGTAGAATAAATTGGACAGAGCATTCCTATGTTCGTATATGAATACATGACCAGGGTTACTCTGCATTATGTACAACCAGAAGAACAGGATCCTAATTAGAACAAAGTATACTCCATGCACGTATAATACATCAAAATATACTCTACTAATTCAAAAAAAGCCCCACCAAAAACAAGAGAATACTTATTATTCAAATAGCTGCACCTATTTCACTGTGGTTGGTATTTGTGATTTTAACCTGCAAGAATAAATTCTACAAGAGTTATTTCAAGAATGAGTTATCCTTGTTAGGGTAGGAGAATGTATTTGAATTTTTTAAAGCATTATTACCTTTAAAGAAGAACATGGGTGGAGGGTGATGGAATCTAGTGGAGGCTTCCATGATAAAAAGGCAACAGAGCAAACAAGAGGCAATTTTGAATTAAAGGACTAGGAGGATATAATTGCCCCAAAGTGTCTGATAATTAGGGCAGGCTCAGGATGAAAACAAGAGCTGGGAGACAGAATGAGTTGAGGCTGTGTGGACAGCTCTCACCATCTGAGCATCGTCCAAAATAGAAAAACCTCACTGAAATGCTGTTGAACTGATCAGAAGATATAGGTATGTTTATGAAGACACCAAAACAACAGTTGCAAAATGAAACAAGTTTATTTTCTGCAGTAATTTCTGCAAATTACAAAGACAAAATGCTAAACTACAGCATATAACTTTTCATATTTAACCAGAGTACTTGTAATAAATATGCATCCTGAAACAAGATAAAAGGCTACACTTTGTCAGGCATCCTACAAAATGTCTCAAGTTTTATACTCTGCAGCATTTCTGTGCGGGGGACATGTCAGGGGCTGTTTTGTATTTTCTTAAGTGCTGTGACAAAAAGTCCTTTCACATTTCTTTGGAGCATTTTTGAAATTGCTTAACTATAATTAAAAAACTTAAGAAAAGTAACAACACCAAGCTTTAAAGCCATTTTTGTTTTGCTGTTGTTGGTCCTTATTCAATACAGATTAACATATCATCCAGTTCAGCCGGACGCCCCCTGAGCCTAGGCAGCCCTGTGATAAGTGGGCCCTGTCAAAACAGGCCTCCACTTTTAGTTATAGACTAAAAGTTCTGTATTCTGTTTTTTCTCCCTTAAGATCAATGCCATAAGAGAAGCTGCAAGCAAGTAAGAAACATTTTTATCCTGAAAGTGAAGTGAACAGAAATATTTTCCCCCAAGACTTTTGCTATGCACCATGTTTCCATATCAGGATTTTTAGTTTCAAAGCTGGAAAACTGATTGGTACTAACAGTCCTTCCAGAGACAGTTTATGGGTGCTTGTAGAGTTGGGACATTCACAAATATTCAACGGGTAAAAAGAGGATTTACTATTTTCAGAAATGCACTGCAGCTCTGAGATAATGTGGCAGAAAGTCCTAGGGGTATTGGTGGTAGTTGGGAATACAGACTATCTTTGCTATAGCTGAAAACTTTGAGGAAAAAGTTATATTTTTAAAAAGTCTTAAGCATGGTTACCTAAAAAATAGTTTGTTAATATAATCTAATGTAATTTCACTTATTTAGGGGCTTAGATATGAAAACATCTTAAAGAGCCAATAAAAATATTATAGAGAAAAAAAAACCCACTTTTTTAAAAAATTGAGGTTAAGTACTATGAGGCATTTCTTTTGGCTGTAAACACACAGTTTACTGTCCCTTGTTGAAACATAAATGTTTGGATTTCCTGAGCTTCACAGGTAACAGCAGGAGGCAAGTTTGCATAGAAAATTTGCAATATGTCAATGATTTGCTTATAAAAACTTTTAAGGACAGTTTGCTTTTGCTTTTAAACTTCATATTTTAGTTAATAGTGCTCATCAAACTGAAATTGATAAGCAGAGTGAGGAGATATATTATAAGGCAGCTTGAGGGGAGAGAAGGTGGAATTAGAGATTTTAAATCCACAGGATATTATGATAAAGAGTGTTAAGCATGCACTTTGTTAACTAGTGCCATAAGAATTTGGTTAGAAATTAAATCATGTTTTGAAGTTGGAAACCAAAGCCTAAAAGAGCTCTCCTGTGCTGATTGGCACAGCCCAAAGAGAAACTGAAGAAACATTCACTGCGTGGAGTCTTCAATGGATCACTCAGTAGTGATGAAGCCACTCAGCTGGTTAAGGGGTCTATCCACCAACATCAGGACCAGACCTCTGGGTGTGGCTGATCTCAGCTCTGGAATCTGAAGGGATGAGGACTTTCACCTCTGTGGTCTGAAGTCTCTAAGCAGTTCTGAGGAGGAGACACATTTCCTGGGGACTTGTCCTCAGAATCCTTTGGAAAGGGAAGAAGCTATGCTAGGTCACAGTGCATACCACGAATGAGAACAATGGCAGTGGTTGCCAACAACTGGGTCTAATACCGAGATGGACGACAAGGGGCAGTGTTCTCTCAAGGAATCTGCTTTACTTCTTTTGGGACTGGTTTTTACACATGGTAAGGATTTGCTTCAGTACTTTCTGGACATCTTCATCCATCTGGCCCTAGAAATTCACACAAAAGACATTCATTAGAACCTCTATTAAGTCGTGGCACTTCCTCGCCTAGGAATGAGAGCTGGCTGGCTGAAGGCCTTGGCTTATTCCCTCCAACTCTCAGAGGAATGGCAGCCCTATCTTTCCCACATTTCTGTGAGGACTGAGTCAAAGAGGGTGGCTTTTATCCATCAGGAGGAGGATGAGACTGGGTCTGCCAAAGCCCTCAGCAAAGGGTATCTAGGATCTCAATTGCAAATGAACATCAACAAAGGCAGGGGTAAGGCAGTGCCTGGGACTCTGGGAATATCTGCATGCCTGGAAAACAAATTCTGGTCTTCTTGATGGGGGACAGCAGCCACAAATTCATTCATCTCATTATGATGAGGCTGCTACCAATAAAGAGGTTCAAGACTCTTGACCCAAAATCTGAAACAAAGAAAAAGGCATCTTAAAGCCTGCTAATGAAAAATATTCTCCTCTATTTCTTATTCCTTCTATTTGTTTGAATGATGGGAGTGTTGGCAACATCTGCTGCTATTTTTCTTTGGGATGTCCAGATACTTCACTGGGCGTTACCATACCTGCACAGCATACAGAAGATGCATTCTATAAACCGATATGACCTCTTGGTGTTGTTTCTTGCAATCCTAAAGAGACAATTTGACATTATTAGGAGATCTTTAAAGAACAAAAACAACAACAAAAAAAAAGGAAAACATGGGAAAACAGCCATTAGCTACTATGCAACTGATTCCCTCCACTAGCATAAGAAGCTTATTTGCTATGAGTTCACTATATACTTATTATTATTATATTCTTAGAAACAAACCTGCCCATTTCATTTTGGCATGCCAAATTTAGAAGAAATTTTATGAAAAAGTTATTTTAATCCTAAGTTTTAAAAAACATATGTGTACACATGCATATATATATATATATATATATATATATATATACACACTTATAAAATATATAGATCATTTGCTCATAGTAAATAGTGTAAGGAAGTTGATTAAATGCAAAAAATAATTTCCTCAGTTGGTGAATTATTGGCAATTTTTATTTATGGAACTTTTTAGAGTTTTTGTAATTTTAGACTTTTCTATAATCACTAAATATTTATTAACTCAATAATCTATTCTTTATAAGACAGTTATTGATCATACCCTGTGCAGCCAGTGTTCTATAACCCCTGGCAGCTCAATTATTAGCTGTCAGTGTACTATGGAGGCAATCTCAAATGGTTGCTCACTACAGCTGTTGATGGATTTATTTCTCCTTGTTGAATTTTAACTCTGGTTTCTCTCAGTGACATGTATCCAGGATCCTAACTCTTCCCTGAAGTATTCTCATTCTAAGAGGTCCTTTCTACTACTTCATCATGAAAATTGAGACCATTTAATATAGATTACTTCAGAAGTTTAGAAATGTGCAGAAATACCTCTTCTCACCTCCTTCCTACCAGTGTTAGAATATGAGCTATTTTTTTTTTATTAAAGGACAATCTTTGAACCCTCAGTTCTTTGAAGTTCATGCCATAAGAAGGTACATTTGATACAAACTGAGAATCTCTTATCCTTGGATAGAAGCAGATGTGTTTTGGATTTAAGATTTTTTTTTTTCAGATTTGGAGTACTTGCATAAACATTCCTGGTTGAGCATCCCCTAACCTGAAAATCTGAAATCACGAATGCTACAAAATTGGTGCTCAAAATTTGTGATTTTGGGACATTTTAGATTTCAGATTTTTGGATTAGGGACACTAAGCCTGTACCTCTCTATGTTGTTTCCTTCTTACCTCTCAGCTCTCTCCATACAATTATTTAGCTTCTGATCACTGTCTTCCTTTCCATCTCTCCTTCTCTCATCATTTTGTTGACTTCAACATCTAAGTGAATGACCCATCTAAAATCTGTGTCTTTCAGTTTCTATGACTTGTTCTTCTTTCTTTTAGCTACTTGCTCTCAAGGTCATATTTCTGCCTCTATCATAACCATCTCTGAAATCTCAAATGAAAGCATCCCACTCTGTGACCACAATCTATTTTTCTAGCAAACTTACTTGCCTCTGACCCCTTCTATGACTCTTTGATCCCATCAGATACCTGTCTGCTTAATTCATTTTTCTACTGTCAGCCTATTGCCAAGGGCCACCTAAGTGATGCATCTCAGTCGTTGCTGAATAAGTATGAGTTCTTACACAACCCTTCAAGATCCATGCAAGCATTACCACCTGTAGTAAGTTTTTCATGACTCACCCAGGTTGGTGAGTTGATATGTTTCCTCCTTAAGCACAGTATGCTAGGCATTTTATTGTAACTGGATGCTTGATTATCATTCCAATTTATATTGAGAACAGATTCTGAGAGCAGGGGCTGTGTTTTATTCATTTTTATATCATTGACATCATATGCACTACTGATACATGAGAGCTCAATAAACACACTAAATACTTGTAAGGATTACTATATAAGTCAATTTATCTACAAATCTAGAATAATTGTTTTGTCAGGAAAGTAACCTGCAGAACCCAGTAAGGAGCATCTCCTACTGATTCCACCATTGCTAGAACTGTTAATAAAGAGCTAGATTTGTACTTTGTGGCCAGCAAGAGTAAGGACTGTAGAAAACGTGTTTCCCCCAGCACCACTGTTAAATTTTTGAAGAAATCAAATCCATTTTCTGCTTGTGAAAGGAAGCTAGAGAGAATCCATGGAAAGCTAACCTTGACTTCATATAGAAAATGTAACGTACCTTGTCAACTAAAACCTTAACAGATACTGTGATAGGTTAAATAATGGTCCTCAAAAAATTTCCACATCATAATCCCCAGAACCTATGAATGTTGCCTATTATAGATGGTACTAAGAGTTTAGAGATGGAGAGAAAGATATTCATGGATGACATGAGTGGGCTTTAAATGTAAAAAATAGGGGTCCTTACATTAGGGAGGCAAGAAAGTCAAAAGAAGGAGATAGGGAGATAAAAGCAGCTCAAGTGACATGCTCTGAAGATCAGCAAGGGGTCATGAACCTAGGAGAGCAGTTGGCATTAAGAAGCTGGAAAGTCAAAGAGATGGAGCCTATTTGACCTATAGCCTCAGGAAGGAATCAGCCCTGTTAACAACTTCACTTTAGTCCAGTGAAACATATTTTGGACTTCTGGTCTCCAGACTCATAAGATATTAACTTCATGTTGTATAAAGCCAAGTTTGTGGTGATTTGTTACAGTGGCCATAGGAAACCCATACAGATATCGAAAGGACTTTCCTGGTTGAAATAGAGGGGCCAAGAAGCAGTATGTGTATGTGTAGATACACAACTACCAGAGATTCTGGCCCCTAATGAGAAAAGGTTCTTGCCACTGCCATCGATGGAGAACAACCACTGCAGAAAGAAGAAAGTGGTGGAAAGTTAGTGAATGAGTGAATAAGCAGCAACCTCCCACTGATTTCTCCCTTCCCAGCAATGCATTTGACCCATCTCATTATGGACCATGATTGGGACTTTCACCTGTGCTTCTCTCTTTTGCCCTCATCAAAGAAGTCTTCAGTTCATTGCTCACTGAAGTACAACATTCCTTTAGGCTGGGAGTCTGTGTTTGTGGCTCCTGGCCCTGATGGCTAAATTGGTATGTCATCTGCCCTGCCCTCACCCCAAAACAGGCAGTGGAAGAAAGCCCACTCACAGCCAGCTGGTTCTGGAGCTGTTTGATCTGCTGTTGCAGCGCTTCCAGCTGCTGACTCTGTCTTTTGGATGAGCTTGTTGAGTAGGAGAGCTGGGAGAGGCTGTTGAGGGCCTCCTTCAATTTGGTGACTTCCTTTGACATCTCATTTATCTAGTGAAAAAGGAAAACTGCATCAATAGGCATGTAATATGTCTTTAGAAGCAAAATTCCAGATATTTCTCGGCTTCTAATAGAGTCATATCTTTTGGTCTCTGGAACTTGAGATTCTGGAACAATTTCTTTTTAATTTTTTACAGGAAACCCACAAACTGAAAAAGATAATAAAATCAGGCAGATCAACAAAGCTCTCTATATCTATTCTGTTCAGATGTAATCCCTTGAATTACGTACTGTTTTGGTGCATGGGCATGACAAGAGCTGTGATACTAATTTCCTCATTTTACCCTTAAAAAAAGTGTGGTTAAAAAATAGCAGGACTGGGATTAGAAACATTTTTTTATTTGAAGACAATTACATCTTGTCCAATATTGCTAACATGGACAATCAGGAATTAGTCCTAGAGCCCTTATATCTCTGGACAACTTGGTTTGAAGTAAACTCAGCCTCCCACCTCACCCCACCACTCCCTATTTCCCCATTCCATAGGCCTTTGAAGTGCTTTTTGAAGTATTCATTACAAAAAGATAAATGGTGCTTATAAATGAATTCAGAGTCTCCACCATGTGGGACTGGGGATGGGGAGCAGATGCAGGTACAAAATCATCATGAACTTATGAACCTACGCTTTGCTCCTCTCCTTTCTCTGCACCATATCCAGTGCCATCTCGAAACTGCCTACTCCCACCATGTTCCTCTTCTCTTCCTATACACCTTTAAAAATGGGGGCCAGAGAGAGTAGTGATATTTATGCTGACTCAGGGAGGAGGAGTCATGGAGCTTTGAGGAGTAAGATTAAGTCTAGGAGTACTTGGATTTCCATATGATGGAGAAATCTACCCTGGATTTAAAGAGAAGTATTAAGAGATAATACACTTTCAGATACTTCTGATCCCCCAAACAGGCAGAACTTCCATAAAATCATTTTTAAAGGACAAGTATGTACCACATATGTGAAAATATATATATAAAGGGAAGTGGCAGAAGATTGGTATTTTTTAAAAATCAAGATCCAGCATACCTTTTTTTTTTTTTTGGCCAGGCAGTGTGGGGGTGGGGGGTTGCTGAGGATTGACCCCAGGCCCTTGCACTTGTTAAGCAAGCACTGTACCACTCGGCTCCATCCCCAGCCCTTTTTAAAATTTTAAAATAGGGTCTAAGTTGACCAGGCCTTTAACTTGGGATCCTCCTTCCTCAGCCTCTTGAGTAGCTGGGATAACAGGTGTATACTAACACATCTGTTTCCTCCAACATACTGTTCTTAGTGTGACTTTAAGGGACAGATGTAATCATGTACAGAGTCTCTAAGCATTCTCAATAGATGAGTGTCAACAAATCCTATAAATGTTTCATATAGTAAAACTTCAGGGTCTTAGGACCTATTAGCAGAAACCCAATGGCAACAGAATTTCACCAACCTTTTTATCTTTATCCTCCTCCAGTCTTGAAGAACTCTCAGAATATCTTTTCATTTCGGCAAGTTCCTCCTGAGCTTGCTGGAATTTTTGCAGAAGTTCATTTACTTCTTGGTCTTTGGATTTCAAAAGAGTCTGAATGTTTTCCTTTTCCCTTTTCATTTGTGAGACCTCACTTCGAACCTGGGCAACCTCTGAATGGACCTTCTCTTTCTCCTTTACTGAATCCTTTAATTTTGATGCCAATGCACTCACTTCACTCTCCAAGGATGACTGGAGCTTTTCATAGGAAGACCTAGGTACCATTGTGTCAGTCATAGCAGCTTTCTCCTCTAGGAGCTGCTTCTCCAATTTTGCCACTTCCACTTCTTTGCTCGCCAGGTGCTCTTTAAGACTGCTTATCTTCTCTTCCATCTCTTTTGCAGTTGTCCTCAGTGAAGTTATCACTTGCAAATGTTCTGTGATGGACACAGAGTTCTCTTTCTGTGCATCCACCAATTGCTTGAGCTGGGTCAACTCATTTAATACTTTTGAATACTGGGACTTCATTTCAGACAGTGCCTCTTCCGCTTTGGCCTTGGACACATTTGTCACCTGCATCAGTTTCTCATGCTCTGCTTTGTGGATGTATTCAGTTGCTACATCTTCTAGAGACTTCCTCTTCCTATAATCCTCCAGCTCAGCCTGGGCTTCTTTGTACAGCTGCGACAGCTCACTTACCTGTTTATTGAGTTCATCTATCATCCTGTTCATGGCCTCTTTCATGTCCTCAGCTTCATCACTGGCTTCCTGTGTCATCTGACTTTTTAGTGTGTCTTTTAATTTCATGATTTCTTCTTGGGCCTCCTGGTATTTCTCAAACAAAAATGCTTTCTCCTTATTCATATTCTCAATAACAGAGCAGTATGAACTTTTCATTTCCTCATACTCTTCCACAGGTGCCTTAATCACTACACCTTTTTCCTTCTCCACAAGTTTTTCCTCTAACTCTCTCACTTTCTCTTTATTTCTTTCACTTTCTTCTAATGCGTTCTGTAGATCCTGCTTTAGCATATCTATTTCCCTGTCTGTGACCTTCAGCTCATGGAGATGTGAATAGCTATCTACACCCTCATGAGACAAGAGACCCAGTTTCATCTGCTTCTGAACACTCAGGACTTCTTTCATTGCCTCCTCATACTTGCTCTGAGTTTCTTTAAGTTTCTGACTGAGGTCTGAGCCATTCTCTGAAATCTCTGTGTCGTTCAAGCATACCAGTTCTGTCCTTCGGGACTGGAGTTCAGCCTGTAGCTGCCTCCTCTCTGCTTCAGACCTCTCCAATCTCTTCTGCAAGTCTTGCGAAATCTCTTGTAGTTGCTGAATTCTAACATCACTGTCAAGAGTGGGTTTCCCCAAAGAATGCATTGAGACAGATGGAGATGATTTGGAGTCTGGGGAAGAGGCCTCACTAGGTTTGCCCAGGGGTGGGGCCACATCAGTCTGGGTAGAATGGAAAGAATCAAAGCTTAGGTCTCCTTCTGCCTCCTTTGGTGATTTGGCCTGGGAAATAAAGCAGGAATTAAATGGCACTAAATTAAATAAACAAGCACCAGAGTGAGAAGAACAAGTCTAAAATTTAGGTACAGGAGAGCTGGGTGATCATTTTCCATGTGTACTACTTTACCATAATAAATATATTTTTGGGGACATGAGAGTCAGATTTACAACACAAAGCTTATTCTGTGCTCTATTAGAACAGATTATTTGTATCATTTAAAAAATACCGGAATTGTTTTGCCTGTAAAAACCTCCCACTCAAATTTTTATTTCTTATATCATTCTAGTTGCCCAGAGAGGCAATAGGCATAGTACAGCTATTTCCTATCAAGTTCTTGAGAGTACTGTATGATCGACTTTACAAAATGAATGGAAAATATTATATACAAATATATATACTTATGCACATGTATATATAAAATGTTTAAATTTTAAAATATAGACATTTTAATGTATAAAAATAGAAAAATATAAAATTTTATGCAAAATTTTTCATAGCATTCTCTCTATGTAATGTATCTATAAACACATTTTATTTGTGTAAAAATTTTTATATATTCTATTTATATTTAAATGTTAATAATTTATATGTAATTATATAACTATATATGTAATTACATAAAATTTACCAATTTACAGAAATAGAATTAATGAAGAATACTGTTATCTACCCAAGAAACTTATGTACAAATATAGCCATTTGACTCCACAGAATTATCTGTGGTAGATAATTATCTACTTAGCTACCTGTAATTTATCTTGTAACTCCTTGTTGTGTAAAGTAAGGGAGGCAACTTTTGCTTGCAACAGCACAAGAAGATCTTGTTGGTCAGCTTCAGAACTTATATCCAATAAGCTATCGGCACCTTGGAAAGGAGAAAGGCAATTTAAAATGTTTTTAAAAATTAAACTGCTGTTTCTCTAACTTCTAACAGACTCACTTTCTGGCTTAACCAGTTCTTCTTCAAAGTCCTAACTATGACCATTCCTCATCCTCAGTTGGGTAGATGAATAGAAATTACTGGCATTTCCTGACTATAGTATTTGTAGCACAGGTGTATCAAGCTAATTATAAAACTGATAGATTTGGGCATTATTCATTCATTTGATTAATCTTGGTTTCTGGTTTCTCCCTGTACCTCATTAAGTCTCAGTTATGTGAATCCTTCTAGAAAGATCCCTGGAACCTGATTTATTTCTTATTCCTACCAGAGCATTACTCAAGTTCAGACTTCTATCACCTTTCTCAGAAACTTTGCACATGGCTTACTCAATGCCCCATATATTCTCCCCAGTAAAAATGTAGGGACATAAATGCTACTTAAAGTGTTCACTGAGATAAGACATGGAACTTGCTCCAGAATAAAACAACAATGTCAGATTAGTCTTCCCAAAACATACGTTAGGCCATTCCTTTGGTTCAAATGCTTTGTTTCCCTCCAAAAATAATCTCCAAACTCCTTTATATGGGTTAAAGCCTCTTTATCTGGCCCCAGTCTTATTTTTCTGGTTTATGACTCACTACATCTTTCCTAAATTTCCATTTCCTCAGACTCTTTGTTTATCCACAGGCCTGCCCTTGCATCTCTTTACCTAGATACCTTTTTTTTTGTACCAGGGATTGAACTCAGAGACACCCAACTACTAAGCCACATCCTCAGCCCTATATTGTATTTTATTTAGAGAAAAGTCTCACTGAGTTGCTTAGTGCCTGGCCATTGCTGATTTTGAACTCACAATCCTCCTACCTCAGCCTTCCGAGCCACTGAGATTTCAGGTGTGCGTCACTGAACCCAGCTAGATAACTCTTGAGCATCCTTTACAACCCCGTCAAAGTTTACCTCCTCCTTAAAAGCGTTCACTGACCACCTGGCATGAAATGATTTTCTCCAAATCACACTATAATCACAGTTAGTAAACCACACTTTTTAGCATCATACTGATTATCATGCCTGAATAGCATTTGAAACAATGCTACTCAAAGTGTTCACTGGGATAAGACATGGAACTAGCTCCAGAACGAAATGAACTGCAGAAAGACTTCCTATGAAAAAATGTCAGTTGCACAAGATGGTGTGCTTGGTGACATAGCTGGATGACTTTCTGGTGAAAACTCTTTTATTATTGCCGACTGGCAATAGTTTATAGATGACTCTTTGAAAAGTACAAACCTAAATTTTTTACTATTATGTTTTTAATTTTTCACAGCCATTCAATGCAGAGATGAAAACTTTAATCTTAATTTGGATGGACGAAAAAATGATGTTTTTTCATAGAAATATTTACATCTGATATAAGGCATTGTTCTGATGTATGGTAAGTCCTCTGAGTTTTGTGAGTCCTCTTAAGATAAAGTCTGGTGTGATAAACTTGGGAATTGAAGCATGACCTCAATTCTAAGCAACAGAAGTTACTTCTCAGATACAATGGATGGTTTCAAAAGTAAGCCATGTAACACCTGTTCAGCTGTATTAACATTGATCTCTGCCAGGAATTTGAAAGTTTAATATTTCTCAATTTAGCAAATCAAAGGTCCAGACTCATATAAAACGCACGATACTCTAAGAAACTGAGTGCTGGAGCTAAAGGGAAACCTTGAAATCATCTACTCTATTATAAATTAATTCTGAAGAAATCATACTACATTCTTATAGATTCAGTTAAACTTTAGGAATCTCCATCTTCTTTAGAAGGGACTCTTAAAAGATACAACAAACTAAACCTATCTTTGTTAAGACAGTTTGACTGTGTGTGGTTTACTTGTAAATCTAAGTGGTAAAATTGCATTGTAACAGTCATGGAGGTGCATGGTTTTCTCCCTTCATTATATAATTTGCTGCTCAGCTGCAATGAGTGCTCTATGCTATTAGCTAACAGCCTACAGCCTGTTTTTAAATGCATAGGAAAAAATATACAGTAATCTATAAGATTATCTTGTAACACACCAAATAATGATATCCAAAAGCAGGTCTAATAACTGCCATGATCTTTAGTGGTGATATTATAAACGAATTTCCAACATATCTGCAATAACAGTAAGGTGACAGGAAATTGGCAGGGAATTCTCTTGTGATAAAGTCACTGGTCTGCTAATACCCCTGTGTTTATTTCCTATATTCATAATTGAATGAAATACTAACATTTAATTATGGACAAGTGAAAACAGAAATGGACTTTTTTACATACCAAAGTTAGATATTTTTTAAAATTCAGGTTCAGGCCCCTGAAGCCCAGAGCTGCATTATTGGCAGCTCTATGACCACAGGCTGTTCCTGGCTTTGTCTTTGCTCTGTTCAAAGAGACATGGAGTAAAGACAGTTTGTTCAAAGAAACAAAAACAGATGCTGCTTTATCTTACCTGTAGTACTGTCACTTAGTCTATCTTTGTTTTCTCGTATAGAACTAATCTCAGCCTGCAGAAATAAAAATGATGTAAAAATAATACTCCTAAATATAACATTGCACAAAAGAATCAGGTAGATTTTCCTCCTAAGCTTACGGAGAGCAGAGTCTGTTATCCTACAAGAAAAATAAAAAATCTGAAGGAAAGAAGATATTTTACAAGTGAAAACATGGCAATTATCTACTAAGGTATAACTTTTTAAATATTTTAAATTTCAGAGTGCATATCCTCAAAACACTTTTCAGAAATACAATTTAGGGAGCACAACACAAATATATTTAAAATTATAATAATTTCATGCCATAGTTTATTTATTGGGCTATGTCCTAAATAAATAAGATGGAAAAGACTAGTTTCTTAATGATGTCACATAGAAGTTATATTTATCTGGGTTATACATTAAAGTATATTAAAAGTATATAAAGAAAAAAATATGTATTTACCATTTTTTTAGCTTAATCATTTTTAAAATTATCTGTATTAATCTTATTAATTTTTCTAAAAGAGATGCTAATAAATAAGACCTAAAAGTAATAAGAAGATAATTTTATAAGGGAAAAAAAATGCATATACTCTTGGATTGGCAACTGATCTCTTAAAGATTTCCTCTAACCCTCTGTCCCTGAATATCTGTTAATATATTACAAAAATTCTTGGAACTTCAAAGACAAACTCTCATTTCAAGGCTTTTGTTTTAAAACATTATATTAACTTGCCAAAAATTTATTATGTTTCATCTAGATGAACCCCAGACAATGATAAGAGATTACTTTTCAGTAAAGGAACTTTTGCAAAAGCCAAAATGCTAAAAATTAAGTTGCTTATTTTTGGCAAATGCTTCTCTTTATAAAAAGCTGTCCTTTCCTTTTTCCTGAAAATGTACATATTTTAACTATATAAGGTATAATAAACTATTCAAATTTTCTAATCTGAAGGGGTTTTGACAGATGTACAGCCATGGAACTACCACTATAATCAAGATCTAGAATATTTCCTTTTCCCTGAGAGTTTATTCATGCATTTATCACAGCTAATCCTGCCCACTCCATTCTTAGGCAACCTGTCCATTTTGCATTTTTTAAAACTGCTTTAAATGGAATGTAATGGAAAAAGTGGGGATATTTTTGTGGCTCATTACTTTCATTCAGCATGATTTTCAGATTTGTCTATGATGTTGCTTGCACATCCTATTTTTGGTGAGTAACATTATTTTATATGAATATATCTCATTATCTGTATTATTCACTTGTTGATACACATTCAGGTCATTTCCAATTTAGGAACACTGTGAATAAAGCTACTCTAAACATCTATATACAATGTTTTATATAGATATGTTTTTAGTTCTCCTGGGTAAACACTCATAAGTGGATGACTGTATCATCTTTTAGGTATTTGTGTAACTTTTAAAGAAACTATTAGTTTTCTGAAGTAGTTTGTACCATGTAATTTCCTCCAACAGAATATTAGCAGTCTAATTCTTCCACATCTTTTCACATCTAATTTTTCCACTAACATACTTTATCTAAGGATCCAATATAGGATATTGCATTGTACATAGAGAATTTTTTAAAAAAATGTAACGTTTGCCACTTCATAAATAATGTTTATTAAGGAATAAAAGAAGGAGTGACTGCAAGTCAGAAGCCAGTAACTTTCACACCTTTTAAAAAAATTAATTTAATTTTTAATGAATAAAGAAAAAAATATGTATTTACCATGTACATCATTATGTCTTGAAATACGTATATAATATGGCTAAATTGTACTAATCAACATATGCATTACCTCACATATCATTTTTTGTGATTAGAACACTTAAATCTACTCTCTTAGCAATTATCCAAAATACAGCACATTGTTATTAACTATGGCCACCATATTGTACAATAGATCTCTTGAATTTCTTCTCCCGTTGAACTGAGATGTACACTTTGACCAACATATCCCCAACCTCCCCAATCCTTATTCCCCCATTGTATTCTGCTTTTATGAGTTCTATTTTTTTTGGATTCGGTAAGTAACTTTGTCCGTTTTTTCCTATTGAAGAAAATTATTGGTTAGTAATTGCAATTAATTCTCCCTATTCTTGTTTTACACTGTCTAAGCCAGGAAAAATAATCCAGGGGTCCTTCACGATGAAAAGATTGTGAGCGAATGACTGAGAAGTATATTATACTTTATTTATATTTGTCCAGTGTTATATAACTTAAAGCAAGTCTATGATGTATCATAAAATACAAGAACAAAATTGAATCTAGAAAGGAAATACCTTGAAGGGTGCTTCTGCAAAAAATACTGATTCCTTTCCCGAAAGTGGTGTTGAAGTTATTGATCTTGGGGAAGACACGTCACTCAACTAAAAGAAGAAAATGAAAACCACCAGTAAAGAATATGTCCTCAAAGTGTTTTCTTTTCCAGTGCTGTTGAAGCAACATCCAGGCAACTAAACTCACATAAGTACCCTTAGCTTCAGTTAACACAGGCAATTCAGCTACATCAAATAATTTTTGAGTTTTGCAGAGTATAACTTTGCTCCTATGTTAACTAGAATCAGTTTTTTAAATCTATAAAACTTCTATTATAGGCTGACAATAGTATTAATGAATAGTATTTCATGCTAACATATATTTAAAATTATTTATTAGTGAGATATTTCTATTATTTGAATAGATTATTCTTTTCATGACATGATTTTAAACAACAAACCCCAACCTGTTTTGTTTGCCATTTCACAGATTTATGTGCTTCCTCCTCTATTAAGAAGCTTTTATAAGTTCAGAAATAAAACTATTTTTAATATTAATCAACTATAAATTTAATTAGAAAGACACATTTTAGCAATGTTTTAAGAAACCAACTTAAGTTCACTTTCAACTAACTGCCTCACTAACTACTCATTATCTTACCCTTAACTCTTACTAGAATTGTTAATATGAGGAACTAAAATAGGCTGACTTATTATTATCTTAGAAAAATTTCTATCATAAGATTATTTTTTAAATTATTATTATTATTTTGTGCCAGGGGTTGAACCTAGAAGCATTTAACCACTGAACCACATCCCCAGCCTTTTTTACTTTTTATTTTGAGATAAGGTCTTGCTAAGTTGCTTAGGGCCTTGCTAAGTTGCTGAGGCTGGCTTTCAATTCACCATCCTCCTGCCTTAGGTTCCTAAACCACTGGGATTTACAGGCATGTGCCACTCTGCCTGGCCTGTCATAAGATTTTGAGAAATTTCCTTGAGGCTTTTAAAAAAGATACTATTTAATCCTCTAGGTTTGAAACAGATAAAAGTCAACATTATTTCCATACTAATTATCAAAATCCTTCTTATCACAATTTGTAATCTACAGAATTTAAGAAAATTTTAAATGCGCACTAAGGGTCAGGTCTAAAACATTACTTTGTGACCTAAACGCAAAATGATGAAACTATTATTGTTTTCTGCTTATTGATTGCTGGTTTGCTTTGGTTTTTACCTGAGTAGGACTGATAGGAGGTGGTGGAGCTTTGCGTTTTTTTGGAGTTCCACTTCTTTCTGAGCTTATTTTAGAGACTTGATCATGCTGAAAGTTATCACAGTCCAAAGAATGGAGGAGGGTTAGTTAGGTTAGTAAAGTTTGAGCAAGTAGCTTCATCAAACAAATGAGAAAAACCTCTATAGCCCATGCATTTCTTAATCCATCAAGACCTGGAATCTGTTATCAACACAAAAATACAGTAATATGCATGCTCTACATTTTCTTCTAGCAGTCCATGCTTTCATAGCAAGAAGATTAAAAACATAGACAAAACCAGATTAAGTTGGTGTGGAAAACTGGGAAAGTAGAGGACAAGAGTTGCCTACCATAATCAGAACCCAGATTACATTCACATGTACTTTCCATCTTAATGCAAAACACCTGGATTTCCCACATCTCTGCATGACTTCCACCACCCACCTTTTGTTTTAAAGAAAGTAAACATGAGGGAAAGGGGGAACCTCATCTCTAAAAGTTATTGGTAAGGAATACAGTTAGCACATAATATATTCAGTATTACTTGTTGTCTATAATTTTTTTTAAGAACTTTGATGTATACATAAATAGAACAACCAAACTTAAATTAATAGTGACAACATGCTTTTTAGAAAAACTCCAAAATAACAGGGCAAACGTCTAAATTTCTACTCCAAGTAATACTAAGTGTAATTTTAGGGTGAAAAACAATTAAAATAAAAGGAAAAGCTAAATGTCTTATTTTCATTAAGTATTTAACATTTTCGTAATGACAGATCTGTAGTTCATATGATAATACAAGCATTTAACTCTAGGTGAAATTTTAGAGGGGAAAAAGAAATAAAAGGAAAAGTTCAATCTCTTATTTTCATTAAATAGCTAGCATTTTTGTGACTATAGGTCTGTAGTCCATGTGATATTACAAGTAGTTAAAATATTATTATTCAGTCTCAGTGTTTAAACTACATCAAATTTCCCACACCAGTGGGAAGCATTAGTACATTTCAGAAAAAGATGAATATATAGGTAGCAAGTTTAAAGTTATATGCTTTTGAAATAAGGTAAATCATTAAGAAAACATTTACCACCTCATAATAATGAATCATTTATTCCAAAGACATTGCACTCCTTAAGTATCTTCCACATAGTCATCATCACTTTTCTATTTTCTTTTTGATACTGGGGATTAATCCCAGGGGTGCTTTACCACTGAGCTACATCCCCAGACTGTTTTTAAATTTATTTTTACCTTTTTAAATTTTAGGGTGGAGTTACTGGGGATTGAACTCAGGGACACCCACCACTGAGACACATCCCCAACCCTATTTTGTATTTTATTTAGAGACAGGCTCTCACTGAGTTGCTTAGCACCTCGCTTTTGCTGAGGCTGGCTTTGAACTTGCAATCCTTCCTCAGCCTCCCAAACCACTGGGATTACAGGCATACACCACCACACTTGGCTTTATTTTTTTTTATGTTGAGACAGGGTCTTCCTATATTGTTTAGGGCCTCATTAATTTGCTGAGGCTGGCCTCAAACTTTTGATCCTCCTACCTTAGCCTCCTGAGTTCTGGGATACACGGGTAGGTGTATGCCACCACACCAGGTAGTCATCATCACTTTTCTAGTGAACTACAGAGTTTATTATAAACATTTTCAAATACTCACAAACAAAGATAAAAAACATCCCTACCCCCAAAAGATAAATACCTGCTTTGGTTTTGTTGGGTTCTTTAAGTCTAAAGAAGAAAAAGTGAAAGAAAATTACCATAAGAACCATAATGACTCATATTTCATATTTGCTTTGGGTGGAAACACACACACACACACACACACACACACACACATCATACACAACATTTAACACTTCATTTTTCTTCAAGACTATGTTTAAAAGAATAATAAAATATATATTGCACAAATTCCTTTATCCTTTGGGGGAAATGGAGTACATGAATTTAAAACAACATTGACTATTTTCTTTCACATACCAGCATCCTGAGAGATTTTCGATAATAGAAGGCTTTGAATTCCTGCATTTTCTGAGAGTTTGGAATAATGTAAGGCATTGTGTCCAAGAGAATCTACAAGGTTTAGGTCTGCATTCTTTTTAATTAAGGCTTCCACGATGGTAGAGCTGCCAATTTCACAAGCCAGCATGAGAGCAGTTCTAAAGAAAAGGGAGACACAAAATTAGCTCTAAATAAATGTAAAACTCTTTCCTCGGAAATTCTTTGCCCTGAAAACAGGGAAAAGAACCTTTACTTAATCATCTGGGAGATTCAAAATGAAATGCTATCAAGATGAAATTAGGTGGTATATTTATTTTTAAACTAAATGTTAAACCATATCTAGTTAAATAATATAGAAACAATCTACTGTACTGTTTGATATAAAATGATAGTATTTAATGATTGCCACAAATCTTACCCTTGTACCTCAAGTATTTTACAGAACCTGTATATTGTGAAGACTTTTCAAAAGTAACCAGTATATTTACTTATTTTTCATGAAAAGACACAGGAAATAGCTTAATCAACTTTAATATTTAATGGTTTCATCACAGATCCAGTCAGCAATGATGCTCAGAGTCTGGGAAACATTATTTTTAAGTGGAAACAGATTCTTGATTACCAAAAAGGTAGAAAATTTAAAAAGAAACAAGTTAAAACACATTATAACAAACCATTCAAAATACAGCTATGATATTGTGAAAGACTCAGCATCACTCAGTGACATCAGCATCACTTAAGTCACATGATTTTTGCCTGTTTACTCAGTACCTTCCGTTTTTGTCCCTGGAATTGACATCTGCTCCATGATCCAGGAGAAAGCGGCAGACCTCACAGTGGCCACTTTGTACTGCAAGAAGCAGCGGGATATTCCCATCCTAGGAAACAAACTCTGATTTAGATTTTAACTTTAACACCAAATGCCAGAATCACAGAGACCCTTGTTCTTTCCCCAGGTACCCCCATGACTTGTACTGCTGGTGTAATATTTGATCCATCATGATATTTTAGGCCCCTTTATGGCCACCATTACATCATGGGCAACTCTTATAGAATTTCTCTGTTAGCATTTCCCTAGAAGCCTTACCTTTTGGGCTGCTTGCCTGTTCCCTCAGCTGTCACTGAGTCTGAGTGATCACAGGAGAAAGTATTAAACTCAAGGTGTGTTCAGGCTTAAGGCAAGAGTATCATGTACTGAAGGATGATTCTGGAGAAATGAAGGACTTGTCTCCGAATGGCTCAAAAGGACTTACTGTTCTAGGCAGCTTCTTCCCAGTGAACTACCTACTTGCTGTCATTCTACTCCTCTCAGAAGGCATACCTTTCATGATTTTAATAAGTGCCAAAACATAACCAATTAACACAAGACAAGATAAAAGATGGATAAAAAAGAATTACTTGTCATGACAATTAGCAATCCTTTTGGAAAAAGAAAATTAGATCCTCAACTTGTATATAAACTATATCAAATGGATTGAGAATGAAAACATTGCAATATAAAACAAATGAGAAAAATACAAGAACATATAGGTAAGTATTTCTGTAATCCAGATTGAGGAGAGCCTCGTAAAAATGACACAAACGGGAAAGAAAATGTATTATCCTGTCTTTTGTGGGGAGAACATACCCCACAGGCAAGTCACCAGTAATTTTTAAGTTAAAAACATTCACATAGAAAAAGAAAAAAGATTAACCACAATATTCCTAACCTATGTTAAAAATGAGGATTTAAAAAGGTACAATTGCTATTTAACAATTAAATCTTTTTCCCCCTCCTTCTACTTCTATCTTGGGGATTGACCTCACTAGTGTTCTATCACTGAGCTGAACTATATTTCAGCTCTTTTTATTTTATTTTTATTTTGAGACAGGGTCTCTCTAAGAGGTAAGGCCTTAAACTTGTGATTCTCCTGCCTTAGACTCTCAAACAGGGAAGATTACAGGGCTATGCCACCACACCTGGCAGAATTAAGTCTTATAGTACAATTTCAGTCAGATTTTCAAGTGTTATGGTTTAGTTATGAGGTGTTCCCCAAAGGCTCATGTGTGTGCAACAATGCAGGAAAGTGTAGAGGTGAAATGATGGATTACGAGAGCCTTAAACTGATCAGTGCATTAATCCCTCAATAGGGATTAATTGGGTAGTAATGGTATGCAGGTAAGGTCTGGCTAGAGGAGGTGGGTCACTGGGGGCGTGCCTTTGGGGTTTATATTTTGTCCTTATTAAGCAGCATTCTCTACCTACTTTCTCATTATCATGTTCTGAGCTGCCTTCCTCTGCCACATCTTTCTGCCATGATATTCTGCCTCACCTCAAAGCCATCTGTGGACAAAGATCTCTGAAACTATGAGCCCAAAGTTAGATTTTCCTCCTCGAAGTGTTCTTATCAGGTCTTTTGAGCATAGCAGGAAAACAGCTGATTAAAATACTAGGCATTGTCTCTATAAAGTTATAGTACTTTCTGGTCATGAAGTAATAGTGTTTTAGATTTTGGATTTTTTGGATTTTGGAGTATTTGCCTATAAATAATGAGATATCTTGTGGATGAAATCCAAGTTTAAACACAAAGTTCACTTATGTTTCATGAAGACCTTGTAAACATAGTCTGGAAGTAATTTATCCAACATTATTAATAATTATGTGCATGAAACAAAGTTTCATGGTGTGGAATAGGCTTCTTGTAGCATGAAGTTGGTGCTCAAAAAGTTTCAGAAATTGCAGTGTTTAGGATTTTGGATTTTTGGATTAGAGATATTCAACCCTTACTAATAAGACTCAGAATATGGATTTATTTACAGTCTATCGAGTCACTTTACATCATACATGTCAATCAAGCTATAACATGAAATTTAACTCTGTAATCATACATGAAGGCATGTAAATTTATTCTCAAAATAACCCTGTGAGGTTACAATAGGATAGAAATATTTCTGTCTTCAAAGTTGGAAAATTTTAACCAAAGGCTTCCAAGGTAATACATGGGGGGCAGAAAGAAAATATCAGAATTTCCATTTGGACTTATTTCTTACTTTTACAAATCAACAAAGTAAGTTTTATTCATATTCAGGTTGATGGCAGAATACATGTATATACTTAGAAACAAATATACACAGGAAAGAAGTGCATGCTGCAAAATGAATTAATAATTTAGGGACCAATGGAGGTATAATACAGAAAACCATTTTGCAGAAGAAGACCTGGGTTGAAAAGCAATAGAAATTTTAAGATACTTGGGTCTCTAAAGTCTCAATGACTCTCAGAATGCTCTAGAAACCATTGTCCATTTTCACCTCTAGTGGCCACCGGGTACTCACCAAGTCCTTGAGGTTTACGGGGCTCTTGTGTTCGCTGAGGACCTGAACAGCTGGTAGGCAGCCCTGCGCCGCTGAGGGAGGGAAAACACAAACATCATCCACTCACAAAGCTCCTCACATAACCAAGGGCATCAACACCTCTAAGAAGTTTGTGTTTGATTTGGAATCAAACATTCACTCAAGCTGCACTCAACAGAAATGGTATTAGGAAGGTAAGTAAGAGGTATTTGAAAATTACTGCTTCATTTCAGAGTTATCTGGACGTACAGCCAGTCACTTTCAACTACCTTTCGGCAAACATTTGTTTTATCTTTTCATAAGACTTAGCTTTTCCACAATTATCAATAACAGAATTTTTATACCTAATTGCCTGAGAGCTCAGTGTCAATGTTTGTCACTTTCAGCTGCATGACAGATGCTAAAACAAAATGTTGACAAATAGAATTGATTGATGTCCATCATGATCACCAAATCAAAAAACCTATATCACAGAAAACCTGAATCCACTAGTACTTCTGATTATCTCTTTAAAAAGAGATTTAAATCATATAGATAAATCAATTGCATATGCATACACATTAATTAAATAATTGGTGCTAAAGATTGAACCCAAAACCTTGTGCACACGTTGTACTACTAAGCTACATCCTCAATCGTAGTTAAAATAAGTTAACCATGACAACCTTTTCTGGTTGTGTGGCAGGCAACTGATGAATTCTAGGTGTGCTCCTTGTAAAGCTCAACATGTTTTTCAAACTGAGTAAAAAGAAATTCTAGGAGTGATGACAGAAAACAATCCCAGGAATAGTATTGTAAGGTTAATGGCCTGAATAAAGACAATGGAAAATTAGTGTTTCTTATGGCAGAAGAGGACAAATAAGAGAAGGAAAGTTACCTGCATAATGTAAAGCTGTTTTCCCAGAGCTGTCAATACCTTCAGCTGGGCATTTAGACTATAAGAAAAAATAGTAAATATGTATATTAGAATATCCTGCAAGAATTCTATTCAGTTCATTCTTTTCCTGTAAGGTCTGATGTCTTATTAGGAAGGGAACAAGCTCTAGTTGCTGTACTCCTACAGCCTTTTTTTTGGGCTGGAGACTAACCAAATAATCATGACCTAGGCAGCCAATTGATCCTTTGCTGCTTTGCCTGCCCTTTTCTCCTCTGACTTCATCACTCTGTCACCACTGGACAGTCCCGGCCAGCTAACAAACATGCTCTAGCATCTCTCACCTTGATCCTATCTCTCTCTCCATTGCCTAACCTAATTCTCTTTCCCCCTTCATAAAACCAGCTCTCTTAAGAATTGCCAACATGCAGTCTATGCTTCTTGCTTTCCATTCACTCCTGAGTCCACTGAAGTTGAGTGTCAGCCATGGAGTTGGGTGTCTCTATGGAGATGGTCCTAGCGGAGGTTACCAGCCACCTTTCAGTTTCCAACCCCAATAGCCTTCTTGTCCTCCTCTTACTAGCCTCTCAGTGGCAGTCCACTCCCTCTTCATCAAATAGTCCTCCTCTCAGCAACACAAGTCCCTGCCTAGAAAACTTCTGTTTGCTCTGACCACTCCTCCTCCTCCAGCCAGACATAAAACCTGGGGCCTCTTCACTGTTCTTTCTCTAAACACTCTTCCTTAGTGATCTCATCCACACCTGCAGCTTGAATTACTGTCAAGAAGTTGAGGCTAGGAACTCCCAATGTCCATCTTACCAATAACAACAACCTAAGTATTGTGTAAGTAAGAGCTATCATGCACCCAGCTGTGTTCAAAGAATTGCTTTACGGTTCCTAACAACCCTGGATAGATGCTACTCTTACCATTTTCAGGCAAAGGAATTAAGGCATAAAGAAGTTAATTTATCAGGCCACAGTGAACAGCAGGGCCAGGATTTCAACCTGTCAGAATGTGCAATCTTACTCAGATGTCACCTGTGAGCACCAGATTTGATAACCCACTGCGCCTACTTCACTGATGTCTTACAAGCACTTCAAAGGCAAAACTTCCCCTCTTCCAAGCCCAACCTGTTCCTCCCCATCCTTTACCACACCTGAACCACACCATCCTCCATCTAGTCAACAAGCCAGAAACTATGGATGGAGTCATCTCTGATTTCCTCTATTCCTCCTCCCACATCTAATGAGTCATTAGGTCCTGTCAATCCTTTCTAGAAACCACACCTCTGATCTACCTCTTCTCTTTCTTGTTTCCACTACCCTTGTCTAAGCCAGCACCTTCTTATCTGGACAGCTAAGATAGCTTCCTTGTGGGTCTCCCTAGTTCTGTTTTTTTCTCCTCTGAATAACTTCTTGACACAATAGTAATAATATTTTAGAACTATGAATGTCACTGTCTACTTATAAGCCTTTAACAGTTCTACACTGTATTTAGGATTAATTGCAGTTTGCCTATCACAAACACACAAGGCCCTGCCTTCTGTGACACATTTACTGGTCACCTGCCTTGCCCCTGGCTAATGCACTGGCTTTCTTTCCTCTCTGATGAGTATTTTTCCTGCCTTGGGGCCTTTGCACTTGCTATTTTAGGAATGCATTCCCCTTGACACTTTGCATATTAGGGATCTCAGCTTAAATATCACCTCCTCCATGAGGCTGCCCTGAACTGCTACTTCTCAGTACCCTGTTGGCTTCCTCTTTAGTGCTTTGCAATTTGTAATGTGTGTTTGTGTCTGTATTTGCAGGACAGTGAGCTCTACCAAGATAGTGACTCCTCTGTGAGTTTACATTCAATTCGTATATGTACTGCCCATCGACCACTTGGTGTATGAAAGGGTAGGAGGACTAGCCAGCACTCAGGGGGAGGGGGAGAGTTCATTTGAATCTGTAGAATCTCTAAAACTTTGTTTGAGCTTCTTGCCTTGAGAAGACAGAATGTTTAACTGGTGTTTACTGGAGAGGGGAAATATCTCTAGCTCACAGACAATTACAGCAAAGGCCTAGAGAGCTCAGAAAGGTTGCTAAATGCAGAGGGTGAAAGGAGTCACTAAATGCAGAGGGTGGAGCAGGAGACCAGGAGGTCACATCACAGAGAGCCTGGATGTCCAAGAGGTGAAGAACTGACTAGACGGGTCCAGGGCTCAAGGAAAGTGACCTAACAGGAAGGCTGATGTTTGAATAACTGCCCAGGAAGAACACTGGTGAGACAATTTGCAAGTTGGAAGAGGGAAGATCAAACTACCTTAGAGTGAAATGCCTGCCCTTTAGTGGTAAGAAGAATGGAGATCAAGTTACTACTTACCAAGCTTTGGCCTAATTTTAGAACAGCACAAGGAACTGCTTAAAGGCTTCAAAGATTCCAGAGAAAAACCAACCCATTTGCACAACCAGATATAAAATTACATTAGAGGCTAGAATATCTGGTCCTTGCCCACAAGGACTTCCTGCTTGTCAGGTTAAATCTTCCTTAAAATCAGAGTCAGATGCAAGGTCTGGATAGCCAAGCTAGGAGGGGAATGGAGATTTAAAACACACACACACACACACACACACACACACACACACACGGGAAGGTATACATGCAGAGCACCCAGGCAAGAGAGTGATCTTCATCTATTCGGATTGTGTGGCCCAGAGGAGGCAGGTAAGAAGAGCTCACTGTTCAGTGCTTCAAGGGGAAGCCCTTTAATATAGCATCATAGACATTGCTCTATTTTTCTTGAGTTTTGCTTCAATGACCTGTTAAGATTAAACATTCCTGGAATTGGCAGTAGCAAGCAGCATGTAATGCAAGACAGGAAGCTACGTGATCAACTGAGCAGACAAGTCAAAGGATGTGACCACAGCTCTGCATTAGAGATTCAAAGTCAAATTAAAGCAAGATGCTGGGTCCCAAACAGTGCTTGTGGGGGCTGAGACAACAGCTTGACAGAACAGACAGTACTCCAAACATGTATTTTATTGCTCTCTGCTGTTCCTGAAAACAGCCAGCTTGCATTTTGACTAGCAACAGCTGGACGAAACTGTATGGATTGCTATCAGGGGTTCATTGAATATACATTTTTATAGATTTATGGATGTCATCACCTTAAGGCATCATTATAAACTTCCTGGCAAGGTTATCAAACCATGGAGTTGGCTTATAATTCTAAAGAAGAGTAAAACCAAACACTGAAATAGGAATCAAGAACTAAAAGCTCATCAAGTTATATACAAGGAAATAATGGTTGAGATTTTGCTTCTGGAGAAGAGCTGCACTTGACTAATAACTTATAGAGGAGAATACCAGGACACCAGAGATCCAGTATGGCAGGGATTTCCAGCAGTTTGTAAAAACTGACTACATAGAGGTCACAAATCCTTCAGAAAAGTGAAAAAAAAAAAAAAAAAGAATTGACTGAAGTGTGGGGAGGAGGCTATTCCTAGGAAGACACTCCAAATTTTGGTTAGGATCCTCTTCACTGCCAGGGGAGTTGCTATGGAAACAATCTTCTCCCTGACTGTCCTGTCAATAAGGAGGTTATGTAGGAAACCCGGGTTCTGAGACAGTATTAAAAGTTGTGTGTGTGTGTGTGTGTGTGTGTGTGTGTGTGTGTGTGTAGAGGTATTTCTTTTTTCATGGATAAGGTCACCTTTTAGAAATGACACATAATTTCAAGTTGCTGCTGCCTTTTACCTGAAGAAGCTTCTTGACGCACTCGTGGTGTCCGTTCTTGGCTGCCAGGTGTAAAGCACTGTGTCCTGAAGGGATTGAAAAGCAAAAGTTGGGGGAAAAAGGCCACACTTTTTACATCTCTTTCACGTCTCTGTACTGAAGACAACTATGAGGAAATATATTGTTCTCTAACAAAGACAGAATTGTTCCTCCGGAGATTAAAGCCTCACATTCTTTAATGCCACAAATGTGGGGAGAAACAGAGCATCCGCCCACTGGGTAACATTCACAGGCTCCAAGTGCTGTTCTCTTAGGGTGCAATTAAGCCCCAGGCCAGAAGCTTGTGGTAGACTCATGACATGAGGCTTGGAAGTTCTGCTTTCAGCTGTCAATGTGTGTGCCAAATGTCCCGTGTCCACAACCATCACACCAGGCAAGGACCACCCCAGGCCTAGAAACCCCAAAACACTCAGCCCACTGGGCAGCAGAGAACATACCAGAGGCCCACAAACTTATTCTCTACTCAACCCCTCATTTTCCTCTTCTTCAAACATACTCTGGTCCTGACTGGCCATTCCCAGGAGCTTTCCGATTTTTAAAGTTCTTGAGTGGAGGAAGGGGAAGAGTTGGAAAACAACAACAGACCACTAAAGCAGCATTTCTTTATGTTCCCTTCGTGACTCCAACATAAGGCATCAGTGTTTCGATGGTCAGATAACTTCAAGGATGGTCCCAATACTCTAACCAACTCCCCCCACTGCCAAGTGGGCTTGTAGGACTCTATGGGAGAGGGGCTTAGGGGTAGCCTAAGGGTCAGAAGAGCCCCACCAGGGACTTTGCAGTTCCTCTAGGTTTAGCCTGGGTTCTCTTCCTTAGAAGAGCCAGAGAGCTGGCTTTCAATCACCTCCACGAGAGGCCATATTCCTCCACTGGAGGAAATTCCACTTCCTCCCTGATGCTTTTTATTCTCACTCCCTGCTTTATTTCTTTATTCTTCATGTACCTTGCACTTTCTATCACTCCTTTTTAAACCTCTCTTAGACACACACACACACACACACACACACACACACACACACAGTTATACATTTATATAGTTAACTGCCCCTCCTCCAACTAGAATATAAACTTGGTCACAACAGGAACTTTCTGTGTCATAACCTGCTGTATCTCTATTGCCTACAATATCGCTGTGCACAGTAGGCTGTCAATATATTTTCTTGTTAATTTGATTTAGAGGCTAAGCTAATTTCAAATGTCTACAATGAGGGACCAGTCAACCCAATATACCTAGGAAACTCATAGCTTACATTTCCCAAACCATTTGACCAAGATATTCCCACTATAACACCTGTAGAAAACTCACACTTAGGCTTAAAGCAGAATTTCTCAGCCTCAGTCCCATTGGTATTTAAGCTAGATAGTTGCTGTGGATAGCTGTCTTGTATGTTATAGGAAGTTAAGTCACAACCCTGGCCTCTTTCTACCAGATATCTAGTTGTGACAACTGAAAATGTCTGCAGACATCGCCAAATAACCCTTGGTGGCAAAATCATCCTCAGCTGAGAACCAATTGTTTAGAGAGACAATTTCTTTTTTATGGTGATGCAGTTCCAAAATACTGTTCCCCTTTTGGAATGATGTGCATTCTGTAAAACCAACCATAATTTACTAATTAGAGGATCACATGGCTAGAAAACACCATATTTAAGATCAGAGGGTCATAGGATCATGGTGAGCTGCACAAAAGTCTGTAACTTCAAAAGAACAGATCCCTTCTATTCCTCAGTAGAGGTGCTAAGAGCTCTTAAGGGTATGCATGAGGGGTGTTATTAGCTGGGATGGAATACCAAAAGGCAGAAGCCCCTCTCCAGAAGGATGGGGATGAAGGAGGCTAAGAAATTAGAGGAAAGAGGTCCTTGAAAGTAGAAAGATGCAGATATTCTCTTCTTCTCCCTCATTTATTGCAAAAGACACCCCTCCCCAAGATGAATAAAGCATAACAGAAGACTTTCGTTACATTATGCATTAAATAGGCTTTAGTGGGCCAGCTTGGACTCCCCAGCCATCATTTATACATTGTTTCTAAGGACAAGCACATTCTGAATTTTAAACAAATGCCTTACAAATGAACTTTTGGAACACGTCCTGATTGTAAGTTGGAGACTTGTTTATGTAGTACATTCAAGCTTTCGTCCATGCCATGAAAAAAAGCTGTTCTACACAAACAGCACCCACTTCAAAAAGGCATACGTTCTTCAAAGACAATGTGGTAGGGACATTTAAACAATACATCATAGCAGAAAAATTAGACTTTCATTTAACTTCCAGTGTTCTGATCATACCTAGATGTGAACCCTGTTTCTAGAGAAGCAAAAATTCTTAAATTCCTGGCCAAGTGACCTGCTTTTCTAACTAGCAGCATTAAAGCATTTTTCAAGAGCTGGGGATGTAGCTCAGTGGTATAGTGCTTGCCTACCATGCTTAAGGCCCTGAGTTCAATCCCAAGCACCATTAAAAAAAAAAAAAAAAGAAAGAAAGAAAGAAAAAGAAATAGTCCAAAATCCTAATGAAAAATCATTCTCTGGACACTGAAGTGAAATGTTTTTCATTGCTAACATTAAAAACAAAATTCCTTTCCAATGCAAAATTTTCAGGAGAGAATATAGAGAATATATTCTATTAGTTATAGAACCTCATTGTAAGGGGACAATGCATAAGAATGGCTCCCAGAGAGCTGTGGACCTGTATGGAATGCCAGGAAGCAGCTTCCCTACAGACAGATAACAAAGGCAACCCTAATTCAGGTGTATAGCAGCAGAACTTTGCCTACAAGCAAAAAGACTGATGCTATATAAATCAAGACTACTGTAGTATTACAGGATGCCAAAGAGTCCCATTATTGAAAGAGGCTTTAAGCAGGAAGACTCAGCTACCCCTGCTATGGAACATCTTCCTCTAACCTATTTCAAACACTGAACATTTATTCAATGCTGGAGAAACAAAGGAAGAGATAATTAATGTACCAGAAGAATAATTGAGGGGACAAAGACCACACTTCTCAAGAGCATATATATATATTTTAAGACTGAGGAAGTCATGTAATATTTAGATATGGCTAACTAATACCAAAAAGTCAAAGTTTGAGATAGTACAGTTTCTGCTCATAATACAAAAACATTTAGACATAATAACAACAAAATGATACTCAACTATAAAGATTTAAAATAATTTGTTAAAAACCATAGTTTCAGAATACAGAATAAATTTAAATAATAAAATTATAAGAGTATTTAGTTCTTTTTTTGGTGTGTGTGTGGTGCTAGGGACTGAACTCAGGGCCTTGCGTATGCTAGGCAAGCACTCTACCTCTGAATCACATCCACAGCCCTAGTTCTTATTAACAACTTTAAATACATTTTAAAGTTAGAAATCCTTATCTGTAAATCAAATTTTTATCATGGAAGCACAAGTCCATTCACATAGTTATATTCTCAGGAGAGAAGATCAGATTATAAAAGATTTATTTATAATATTTATTCTTACCATTAAAGTTAAAAAATTATTCCTTAGTCTCCCCTTATATTTAAAGCACAATATAAATTTGCAGTGCTTTACATAGAATCAAAAGATATTTTTGCCTGTGTGTATCATATGGAATATTTTCAAGGCCAGGTTATGCTCAGCCTTGTGCACAGGTGATCCTTGTGACCTTCTGTATACATGAATAAATAGCAAGTCAAGTACCCTGAATCATACCTACCTTTTTGGTGTTCCTTTATTTCAAATTAACATATGAACTTTGGTATAACATGCAGCTACACTTCAGAGTGACTCATGATCTAAAGTCCCTGAGGTTTTTAAAAAAATTTGTTCTAATTTGTTATATATGACACAGAATGCAATTCAATTCTTATTACACATATACAGCACATTTTTTTGATGTCTCTGGTCTAAATTCCCTGACTTTTAATATGAAATTATCTTTTGTGTCTTCACACAGTGCCAAAATTGAGTGGCAATATATAGAGGGCATAATGGAACAGATGGCAACCCAGAAATCATAAAAGTTAAACCAGCAACTGGAGATGCAAAGACTAAGGACCTTTACTTACATTTTCAAACCTCAGCTTCTAAATCCCCTACGTCTTCATCTGGAAAGTCAAGTGGGCAAAGGAATCAGGGATAATTTAAGATATGTGAGTGATAGAAACTGCAAATCATTTAATCTGCTTCTACTTCCTTCTGTAGCACACCTTTGATTTTTAACTAGAAAAATTGCTGCCCTGAATTTCCCTGCTTCCCATATAGCCAGATGTGGCCAAGTCCATGTTGTGTCCAGTGAGCTTTGAGGAGAAATAGATGTGTGTGTTTAAGGACTGTGCCTGCCTTAACCCAGAAGCTACGGGGGTACAGACTCCCAGGGAACCATCTTGGATCATTGGGATCTCAGAAAGACCCTGGTTGGTGGAGCAGAAAGGAATCTGGATCCTCATGGTGTGGAGCAGAGTTGCCTCACCAATCTGGGACTTTCTATTGAGAGACATAAAATTCTGATGTTCAAGCAACTCTTATTTTGGATTCTGTCACATGTCAAATGCATATGCTTATTAATGGAGTCTCAAAGCTTTAGAGAAGTATTGATAATAAATAGAAGATTCTTTGGTCTTCTTCAATCTTCTGGCAATTACATCTATTTAATTCTATTTCTTACCCCAGGATGTTAAGTGCAGGCATCCAAAAAACAAAACAAAACAAAAACATTTGGTATCAGTTTTGCTTTTTTGTCCAGAACTATTCTCTTAAAAAAAAAAAAAAAGATAAAATTCCCAATTCTTATATCAGTGAAGAACAAGAACAAACAAACAAGAAAGGGTGCAAGAAAATAACATGGGACCAGTTCATGGATGGTCCATGACCTAACCTCTCTACCTGATGAATATTTTCTGTTGGGCAAACAAGCAATTAAGAAACAGGGACAACCCCCAAAAAAACAAAACATAAGGACAGTCTTCTATAAGTCTTTGGGCTTTTCCTTCTTGGTTTTTAAAACAAAATTTAAAATGAAAACCTTGGAATGGTGAATGTCAAATCTTTTCTTTCTCCTCCCTCCCCGCCCCCAAGATCTGAACCTTTTCTATAGCTCAAAGAGTAAAACATTACCTGTGATCTGGTTGAAGTAGCAATAATCATGAAAATTTAGCAGCCAAATGCACTTGTATGTGCCCAGCACCTCTAAGATGCCCATACTGACTATCTCACTGAAGTCTCCAAAGGTACCTAATATGCTTATTGATGCTGTCCTATAACTATCCACAAGTTTATCTTATGATAGTGTTCTGCTCATAATTTGACTGCAAAGCACCCATTAAAACTTCTCAAATTTCTAAGCATTTCGTGTAGAAAGATAACTAAAATAAATAAATAAATAGATAGATAGATAAAGACATTAGAAGTTCTTTGCTCCTAATTCTTTACACCTGGTCAGTAGTTTTAAACATAGAAAATTGTACCAATTTGACCATCCTTAGACTTTGTGGATAAAAAAGATGAAAGGGGTCAGTAAAATATATTTTCAAAGGTTACCCCAGCCCCTCCAAAACCTTATAGGACAGTATGATCAATGTAACAGGTTTTTGTACCAGCTCTAACAAGGTTTTGAGATTGAAGATGCCCGCATCTCAGTAATAATGTGGCAATATATAAGGCTATTTTACCGAAAAGACCTTCCCTGTCAGTGCTGAGCCAATTAATTTATCCTCTAACTGTGAAGAGTATTTTGGACTAGTGATGACCACTAAGGCACAGTGTGACTAATGTCCTCATTCTTCCCTTATATTCAGATATGCGTCTTTAGAGAGAGAGAGTCAGGGATCAGCCATGACAGCCAACAGCAAAGATACAAGCATAGGCAATAAAAGCCCATCACAATTTACCTTGTTTGCTATGGTGGAAAAAGTTGGAACAGGGTTGCCCTGGTTACTACAACAGCTACCCACTCTCACATGCTCTTAACCATAGAGTGCTTTCCTTCTTTGTTCTGGTGGTCTCTCTGCACTTTCCAGAAATCATCAGAAGTAGCTGGTGCCTCATTCAATCCAAAGTAAAACCATGAAGTCTGTTGGCCTCATGGCAAAGAATATCAGATGACAGGTAAGAGATTGGAAGCTCTGAGACTTTCCCATCCCATGGAACATATGGACAATGTCCCAGGGCCACAGAGTTCTAGGATTGATCAATTTCTTTCTTTTTTCCTTTTATTTTTGAGCGAGGGTGGGGGTGAGTGGGTACCAGGGATTGAATTTAGAGGCATTCAACCACTGAGCCACATCCTCAGCCCTATTTTGCATTTTATTTTAAAAATAGGGTTTCACTGAATTGCTTAGTTGCTGAGCCTTGCCAAGTTGCTGAGGCTACCTATGAACTCTTGATCCTCCTGCCTCAGCCTCTCAAGCCACTGGGATTACAGGTATGCGCCACTACACCCAGCAGATTGACCAATTTCAGTTTCCACCGACCAGCATTGAGAAGCATCCAGGATGGGTCTGAGCACCACCTATAGTGCTCCTTCTCTGGGGATCCTGCCATTCACTCTGCACGGAAGTGGACACTGAGCTGAGGTATCCTGGACTTGCTGCTTATACTGACCCAGATCCTAGAAATCAAGTTAGGGTTCTGATGGCAAATTCACCTGCATGGTGTAATGTGGCCACAAATAACTAAGCTCCATAAAAGCTTTTAATGGGGGTAAAATGTACCAGTACAATACTAAATTAAAAAACAGGATATAGAAACTTATTGTATAATATACTCTCAGCTATGTAAAAATGTGCTAGGCAGAATCTATAAGGAAATTGCAAACAAACAAACAAACAAACAGTAACATTTTTCTTTCTGATAGGAGTAGAAGCACTAGTTACCTTTTTTACAGTTTTCTGTACTCCCCTAGTTTTCTACAATGAACATCTACTAAAGGAACTTATTTTTCCCTATAATAAAAAGAAGCGAGGGAAGATGTTTAGTCCTGATAGAGAATTCCTTTCTAATCTGTTTCCTAACAATAAATGCAATAAAACAGAACTATTTGACACATGCCAGTGTATTTACTATAAGCTAGTTCTTTTAGATTATGAATTTTTGAAAGAGGAAACCTCTTCTACTTAAAGAAGTCAAATACCTCATTAGAGGTAAGGGTTGTTAGCCAAACTTATTGTGCTGTGTTTATGTGGTATAACTTTAAAAGTAAGACAAACAGAATGGATCTTGAAATTAAAGATGACTTTCATTAGTGCAGTGTAAATTAGTGTTCCCTTCAAGGCAGTCACCTAGAAAAACTATTAATCTGCTACTAGTTTTACTATTTCTCAAAATATTTTTTTGGAATGATCTGTAGAACTGCTCAGGAAAATCTTGTTACTTCAGTCTCTCCCTGTTTTTAACCAAAAATGGTTTTACCAGTTTGATGTGTCATTCACCTTACATGACTTCAAGTATTCTTGGCCTGTCCTAAAAAAACTATTCTCATAGATTAAAGATCACCAACCACTGAGATTATTTTCTTTTAAATGCCACAGACATTGAAAACATTTCTGAAACATACGTTTCCTAGGTATGTTATGAGTAATAACAGCATTCTTGCAATACCTGACTGATTCCCCAAGATGATTGATTACTCTGAAGAGACTAATTTTGGGGAAAGATGTAAAGGATCCATTATAGGTTAATGAAAAGCCTAGATAAAGACTGGAATTAGCTTGACTTTGCTTTCCAGTAAAAAATAACAAAAAGGTATTAGAAACCAAAGATTTCCCAGTGTAACAGGTGAAAAATCATTAGTTGCTTTGGTCTTTTCTTAGGACCATCACTGGTGAAATCCCAGGCTGGAAACTTCAGTGGCTCCTCCCCAGAAAACAAAGCTTATAAAAAACTAGACTATACTACCTCTTCTTTCCATATGTCCTGTTCATCATTTGTCAACACTAGTTTCACATTAGAATCACCTGGGGAGCTTTAAAAAAAATCCAGTTGACTGGAAAACTCTAGACAAGGGAATCTGAATCTTAGAGAACATCGGTATATATGTATACGGTTATGTGTATACTGTGTGCTCTTTCCTTTTCTTCTTCCTCCCTGCCTTCCAAGTCCCAGATAATTTGGATGTGTTGAAGTACAGTAAGGGGTGAAGATCTTCATTTTCATATTATTATGTAATTCATAAAAACAAAAACTAGAGAATATTGCTTGCCCCATATGTTCAGTGTTAGGAAATAATGTAAAAAAAAAAAAAAATGAGAGATAGGAAGCACACAGTTCTCTAGTTGACTAAGCTCACAGCAGATGGAAACACAGAGGCACAGACAAGTGATGAAACCATACCACAGCCTAGCCATCAAAGGTGATTCTGCTTTCTTCTTTTGGCTATCTGCAGACTCTAAATTTTGCACAATGAAAATAAAACTTTTGTAATACCTATGATCACGCTGACAAATTATTGACTTAAGAGAGTAAAACCCCACATACCAGTAGTGTCTTGGGCAGTCACGTCCACACCATGGGCAACCATGACCCTGAGGCACTCCACGTGTCCTTTTGTAGCTGCAAGATGAAAACTGGAGAGAGAGGAAAACACATCTGCTTAGGATTGCCACACTTTACATTCATCTCTAACAAAGCTTTTTGCGTCCTCATGTGTATTTTTTTTTCCCACTTGAGCTCCACAACTACCTGCTGAGTGAGTATTATTATCATCCTCATTTCATTTATTTGCATTTTTAATTTTTTAAATGTTGCCTAGGTTGGTTTCAAACTCCTGGGCTCCAGTGATCCTCCTGCTCAGCCTTATGAGCAGCTGGAACAATTGGTGAGCACCACCAACTTAACCTTGTTTTAAAGATGAGGACACAGAGCCTCACTATGGTCTGAAAATTTGTTCACTGACCCCTTTTCTTTCTTTTCTTTTTTGTTTTTGTTTTTATTTTTGGTGCTAGGGTTGAACCCAGGCTCTCATGCATGCTAAGCACATACTCTACCACTGAGCTACATCCCACCTCCTCTCTGACATATTCTATTAATGATGGAGCAGGAGCTTGATCTTACCTCTTTCAACCCAAAGTTCAGGCTTGAAAAAATTTAAGATTTGATCACATATTTATCTCTTTATGAATCAACAGAGAGCTCCAACTAGATTGAGTTTCTAAATAAATATTATCTTTTTTCTTTGTCTAGCATTTACTTTTACCAATGCCATCATTTCTTCTTGTTTTTGGGGGGTGGGGGGTGGAGAGAGCACTGAAGATTGAACCCAGGGGTGCTTAACCACTGAACTACCTCCCCAGCCCTTTTTAGTTTTTATTTTGAAACAGGGTCTCACTAAGTTGCTTGAGGCCTCACTAAGCTGCTGAATCTGGCTTTGAACTTGTGATCCTCCTGCCTCAGCCTCCCAAGCCACTAGGATTACAAGTGTGTGCCATAGCGCCTGGCACAACGCCATCATTTCTACATAATGCACACTCTAAAAAGAAACCTGTCTAAGTCACAGAGGTCAAAGTTCTTGGACAATGCCAAAAGCAAGGCTGTGCTTTAGATGAACATAGTGACATACAACATCCATTAAGTGCCTACTTTACACTTCTAGATACTGACTTTTCCTTCCCACGACAGTGGTTTAGGGGAGCCCTGTCACTGTCTACCTCCGATGGCAGGATTCTATACTCAGTTGCAAACAGCACTGGAGAAAGCCCACAAAAGGCTCCAGAACTCAGTGACATGGAGTACAAACCATGCTCTACGACATCTTTAGTTGGACTATTAAAAGAAGGGATCACAGCCAAATGCCACACCAATGATCCCAGGGTGAAGGGCACTTCTGCAGGTAGAAAGAAGCAAAGTGTACCACCTGCCGTCAGGCCCAGAGGCTGAGATGGCCACAGGCTTCAAGAGTCTCCACCACAGAGACCTTCCTGCCTCTCCATCTCTTTCCTGAAGAGAGAGGTTTACAAGCCTCCAGTTCTCCTCCTCCCTTGGTCTGTATCTCTCAAATGAATGCCCAGGCATTATTTTCTGTCAGGGCAGGATCTATCATCAGAGCCCAGGGTCACAAGCAGCTGGCAAGTCCCAGAGCTAATATTTGAACCCAAGTGGGTCTGACTCCAGCCCTTTGTCCTTCGTAGGTAAGTTGAGTGAAGGGGACAGATTATCAAGTGAGAACACTTCAAGTCTGTTTGTAAATCAGGCATAACATAATTAACTATGTGCTTTGGGGAAATTGGATCAACCTCTCTGTGCTTAAGTTTCCTCCACTGTAAAGTGGAAGAACTAAGTCAAATGATTTTTAAGGATCCTCTGTCTCTTACATTTTGCTTTTCTGTCTACCTGGTTCTGATTATACCAATTGTTTGTGAAGCAATCTGTACATAATGTCTCTTTACAATCAAAATTCACTTTGGAGTGATTCCACATTAAGTAAAGCATTGATTACATGGAATAATTTGGAAATGTGGTGACTTGTTTAAATTGAATTCCTGTTTAAACACAGCTTAGCCAAAAGAATACCCCTAAAAGGCAGGACAATAATACCCCTGTTTTTCACCACATTGGAGGAAGGCTTAATTTTGTAAAAAGTTTAATTTAAGTGATTATTCTTTTATTTTAACTAATCTTTGTAGAAGGTTTCTAAAAATTCACCAGCCTTATAACAATATACATAACATAATTAATTGCTTTTGAGGAAATAAAGTCACCATCAAAAGACTCAGGTTTCAGTTCCTTGAACTCTGCTTTCAGGGGTACTAACCCAAAGCTCCTGAACTACTAAGTCCTAAAATTGATTATATTGGTCTTCTTTTCTAGGTCTGTGTATTTGCTTTTAAACTGTTAACCTTTTATCTCCTTTGACCGGGAAGAACTAAATCAAAAGTATCTCAAAAGCAGGGTAGCCATAGGCTACTTTGAAGATAGACTGGGAAAGTGATTACTCTGTACACAGGTGCATATACCCATTACTTAACGTTTTTCCCCCCTTTTGGTACCAGGGATTGAACCTAGGGGTGCTTAACCACTGAGCAATATCCCCAGCCTTTTTGTTTATATTTTATTTAGAGACAGGGTTTCACTGAGTTGTTTAGGGCCTTGCCAAGTTGCTGAGGCTGGCTTTGAACTCAAGATCCTCATGCCTCAACTTCCTGAGCTGTTGGGACTACAGGCATGTGCTACCACATCTGGCTCCACCTAACTTTTGATTAAATTATAACCTACATAAATAAAACTGCACATATCATACAGCCTGGTAACTTTACAAGCAGATGTAATCTCACCTTCAAACACATCAAGCAACAGAACATGGTCCAGGACCTTGAAGCTTTCCTTCCAGGCTTGCATCCCTGAAGCTCTGCATGGTCCTTTCTAGTTACCACCTCCCTCAGAGAGGATATTTATAGTTTTTTCTATTCTAAAGTGTTTTAGATTGCCTCTGAATCATATATTATATTTATGGGTGATTCAAATTGCAGATACATTTGATAAGAGCACTGCTATAGGCCACTACTATAGTTTGGTAAATGTAATCTGTTGGACATAACTTGATATTCATCAAATGACTTGAAATTGCAGGGATTCAAGGTCAGTACTTGGAAGGCCAATAATCATTCCAAGATGGGGAAAGTGTTATTTCAAATCTCACACAAGAAACTTCTTAGACATTGTTTTTAAAGGAAACCTCTAGTGTCAATCAAAATTGACCTCTCTGTTGGCTGTAACACATCTTTTGATGGATGCAATTAAATAAAGGTTTCATTGACTATGCTTTAAAAAATTATGTGTGTGGGGGAGTGGGGGTTGTTTTGTTCTGCCTCTCCAATTAAGAGTTTAGAACAGGGAGTGACTTTTTTCTCTCTTCTTGGGATTCTCCAACCATTTTCCTGCAGAATATTGGTATCCTGCTAAGAAAGAGTATTTTCCCAATTTATGATTGTCTCCCATATTTTACCAAACGCTTCAGGACTTACTATCCTTAGCAAAGTACAAATATAAGTAATTAGAAACAGCTCACCATAAGGGCAAATATTTGTGCTTGTAACTTTATACCACACCTATCTAATAATCATCACATTTTTAGATAGCAAAGTCATTCATGTGGGTCAATTAAACATATTATTTCTGGGCCTCAAAAAGGCTCTAATTTCCAGGTGTCTGTTGTGTTCTGCTGTCACACAAAAATTGCTGTCTACTTTCTAAGACACAGGATCATAGGCATAAGCCTACAATGCAGGAAAGGAGACAGCAGATCATTTTAGTCATCATTTTAGTTTCTGATTTATTTTTTTTTTTCAGATAGATATGGAGTCATTTATCCTTCCTTCTCACTGAGCATGCAATTCTAGCAAATGGGAGCAAACCCACAAGACACAATAAACAGGTCTTCTCGTAGGGGAGAGTCACCATGCTATGCCTTCTATTTGCCCCTCTGGAGCTGCCCTCTCCCTTTAGCTCTGGGTCCATGGCCCAGGAGACAATCCTCCAGTGCACTGTAACCAATGGGCTACCATGTCCTTTGGCTTCTTGTGGAGTTTGAACAATGGTTAGTGCTTATGAGAGTAAGAAGATGAGGAAAGATTCAGAGCATGATCTTTCCCATTGACCCCCTCCAAGTCACACATTGGCGGCGGCCATCTTTCCTCTAGGAAAGCCACAGCTATGAAGGCCACAGTTCTGACTTTCCCAAAGCTACAATTGTGGCTCTTTCTGGCTTTGGGTATTTGTTCTCTCTCCTCGTCCCTCCAGGTCAAGGGTAGAAAAGATTCCCACTATTGCTAGCCTGGAGCTGCATTCCCAACCTTGTTGGTTTCCTTTAACTTTGCGATTATTTGTAAACAGTTCCTTTTTTAAACTCTCATCAGCCACTCTTTGACAGTGCTACCTATTTCCTGGCGGATACTGAACATGCCACGCTTGGATATTTTTGTATGTGGTCATCCACAGGATGAACCCATAAGTTCCAGTGGATATTATTTAATTATATATTTGTAAGGAAAAATTCAGGTTTTGTAAAAAATTGTATTAACATATATCATTAGATTAAAAAGATATTTGAGTTTGAGTATTGTGGTTTAAATGCTTTAAAGGAAAAATATGCCATATAACTATAATTACACAGAATATGGTGATTTCTGATAGGGTCTTAGTTTTCTAATATGGTAGAGAACAGTTTAAAGGGTTCAAGATTAAACTCTTCTAAGATTTAGGGGAAACAAAACAAAACAAAACAAAAAAACCCTTAATCAATCAAGAGCTAGTAGACTAGCACACCTTGCAAGAAAAAAAAAAAAGCTAGTGTGGATTTACTTTTAAAAAGATACATTCACAACAATACATAATGGTACACAAGTGCACACACACACACACACACAAAACAATTACAACAAAAGCAAAATTTAAAGCAAACAAATAAACCAAACCCACACATATCTTTACAGCCCAACCATGCCTGTAATTTGTAAGACTTAATGTGAAGACACTCAGAAAACAAAATTGTAACAGCTCCTAAACACTCCCATATGCTGAAGTTTTGTTTCTTGCACTTGATGTAAACTCTAGTGGACTTATTTAGTTTTAT